CATATGCAGTAACATCCTGTCTCACGAGCTGAGCAGCTGCAGTGAGCCGCAGCTCCAGCCAGCCACTTTGCTGGAGAAAAAGAACATGTCCATCTGTGGATTGAGGGTCTCTCCATTACTATATGAGCTGTCCTCACGGCTGTGTGAGAAGGCCGCTAGCCGACAGGACAGAACTTGTAGTGAGCTCCTCCAAAACTTGCTCTCAGTTCACCTAGTACACATAGAAACACAGACTTCTAAGTCCCGTACTCTCAAAGTTAACCAGAACCTCCAGGGAGAGAGCCTGGAATTCCGTGTTTTTGATGAGTAACCCAGATCCCAAATTTGCTTTTAGCATAGAAGAGACTGAATTTCCTCTGTGGGATGTTTAAAGAAATAGCTCCTTGCTGGGTGTGTGGTAGCAGAGGCCAGTGCTCCCAGGACTCAGGGAGGCTGAGGCCAAAGGATCACAAATCTGAGGCCAGTCTGAGCAATTTAATGACTTAGTGAGTCTCAAAATAAAGGCAAAAAGGTTTATGCACACAGCTCAGTGAGAAGGGCCTGGGCTCCTTCCCCAGTGCTGCAAAAGAGAGAGAGATGCGATTATTCATTTAATCAGTCAGCGAATATTTATTAAATTCATACAGCATATAAAACCACATTTTTCTCGGTCCAAGTTTTTAATTTTTATTTAGGGAAGCACTACATCTTTTTAGCTAAAAGTTCTTTATTAATGTAAATTGTTCTTTATACTACCTCAAGTTACCTCAAGAAAAATCAGAATCTAATTTTAGCAAGGCAAACAAAAGCATGAAAAACCGTTCTGCTCGCTGCCCCATATGTTTTAAAATCTGACAGCTATAGGACTTAAAATACAGAAACCAACACCAAAAGCTATTTCCTGAAAAATGCTACCTTTCCAGCTCTGCAATTTTGGCAACATTATCTATAGTCTATATTCCTGCCTTCTGGTAGGAGGAAGTAAAGGATAAGAGAAGAAAATGCCTGGGGAAGGCGCAGGAAAAGTAAAAATCAATTACTAAAAAGCTCACTTGTTTGAGGATGTGGTTATTATTATTTTTTTTAATCTCCACAAAATCTATGCTGTGACCTGAGGGAGCATAAGCAGGTTTGTGCTGTGCCCTTCTGCGGCTAAAAATTTTACACTTCTCTTGACATCATCCTTCTTTCTCTTCCTTCTGTTTTTCCTGTGTGGGATGGACCAAAAAAAAAAAGTAGAGGAGCTAAAGATGGAGTAAGTCCATGGCTTCTGTCTCCAGCACTACCAAAAGGAGAGAGAGAAAGTAAAGCCTAAACAACTACATCGCGTCAGGCTGAGGACATAGCTCAGTGGCACAAGTTTCTGCCTGGCAAGCGCAAGGTTCTGAGTTTGATTCCCAGTACCCCCCACAAAACAAAGTACATCACTCGAACATGCTGGACTAAAATGTGGCAACCAAGGCCACACACACTGGCCTCTTTAAAACAGCAGAAGTGCAAGGGAGCAGGAAGGACCAGGTGTCAGGGAGGGCACTGAGGCATGGGCTTAAGGCACTGATCCACTTCTTAGTGGTAAAAATGCAGCAATTAGAAATAGCCCACTAATAACAGCTCAGCCAAACAAGGAAACTAACCTCTTCCAGCTCCTCATGTCCTCAGCTTCATAGCAGCAATGAAACACTACCCCAAAAACCAGCCCTGCGTTCTAGAATGCTGTCACTTTGCTTAATTTTCCCCATGGTTTCTGGAGTAGAGATGGAAGTTTCAAGATTAAATTGGAGAGTAGCATGGACAAAGTACACCTGCTCCTTCCACAGAGTGACACAGCTCCAGCAGCCTGCAAGGTCAAATCCTTCCCCCGTCGCCAGCCTACGTCTCACAAGCCTCCAGAAACATGCACAAGGCTTGGTTATAAGAAAAGCCAGCACCTTAACATACCTGAAGCCAAATGCCTCATCTACTTACACGTTTCACCTGTAATATTTGTGAATGTATAAAAACTATAACAGTACTCCAAAAATTATTTTATTTTGTATTTTTTAATAACACCATAATGATCTGCTGCATTTTCATTGATTTTATGAATAAAAGTAGTGATGAAGTTACATTCCAGCTAATAGCTGGAATTAATTTTGATTGCTACTTAAACGACACTTTGTGTAATTCACACAATTCAGATGTGTCAGCCAGGAGGGTGGAGAGGCAGGTTCCTCTCCTCACTCACCATAAAGATCACAGCCAGCACTCCTCTAAAGAAGCACAGGTTAACCAGAGAAAAGTATAAAATACTCTTTTAATCAAAATTTTACGTGACCCGGGCACCCTCAGAAATAAAGATCCAAGGACCCAGGAAAAGTGTTTTTAAACCTGGATTTGAAGAACGGACACCCATGTAAAAGTGTGATTGGGAAAAAAACAAAACATTGTTCGAATGCTAATGGGTAGAGACGAGAAACCCAGCAAGGCTGTCTGGTTCTGGTTCTTCCCGGCCTCTCTGTGTAGCATTCCTTCCTCCCAGATGGAGCGAGACTCCTTCTAACATGAGATTTTTATAACCTACTATCAGACAAGGTAGGTCAGAGAATTTCTTCATGGCCAGCTGCTATATAGAAGAGCAGGGGAGAATTAGAGTAATATTTCTAGGTTTTATGGATTTCTTTGGGGAGAGGGACTCTAACTCCTAGGACCATCTTAGGGAATAGAAACTATGGCTTGGGGAAGAGGGAAAGAAGTATGGGACACAGGAAGACAGGAGGTCAGAGAGGAGCTATGCTTCTGAGGCTGCCCTGGATGTCCCCCGATCTCTAACTCAGCGTATTCAGCCTAAGCACTGCACTCTGGAGCATGACCTTCTGAGCCCTAACAAGCCTCAGTAACAGAAATAAAATAACAGAAAATTAGGCAACAAAGGCTAATAGCTCAGTATTTAAAGCTAATTAACACAGAAGTTGGACATGTATGGGTGGACTACAAACATTAACTTTTCTGACCTGGAAAAAAAATAAAAATACTTTTATTATTTTTATGCTTTAGCTACTTGTGATAATTCTGTTTCTGAGCCAAATCATTCTCACTATCGGGCTTTCCGTGTGTAAATGCAGGTAGTAGTACTGGCTAAATACAGTTGTTACAAGGGTGAAAGAAAAGGTCTAGTAAAGCACAGTGTGTGTGCTAAGTGTTAATTCCTTGCATGTTAAATGTTATTGCACCTTTCCCGCTAAAACAGGAGCGTTACAAGAGGAGGGTCTCAGGATAGCTGTTTCCAGGTCCAGGGTGTCTGCAACAGAGACTTGAGCAGGACGCCCAGAAGAATGAACAAGAGGAAGCTCTCCTAAGAGTGAAAGCACAGTGCACAGGGTGGGAGCAGTTAGGGAGAGGAACTCAGAGCGCCAACAGGAGCTGCCACTAGGTCTTGTAAGGTTCTGGGACTGTGGGAGGATCCACAGCTGGGAATTCTCAGAAGTCATCACCCGGGAAGGTACCTGACTCAGCCTACAGATGGGGAGGAGGATTTTCTGACCATACAAGGTTTTTAGAGGAAGTGTCTTGGCATCCAAAGCCCATGGGGGGGCGGGGTCAAAACTGAAATGCAAATGAGGTTGGATGCAGACCATGGTCCTGTACTTGGGGCTTTGCAAACGCCTGTGGATCTGGAAGGACAAAATAGCCCTATCTGTTGGCTTCCTAATATTTTGACAAAGTCCTTCTTGCTGCTTCTGGTTTTTCAAGACTTGCCCTCTGTCATTCTATTCTTTGCTTGTCCTTGCTCTACTCCTGATCTTGAAAGAATTAAAGCTCTCACAGAATCCTTGTACCACTCTTTTACCTTCAAAATACATGTGAGTGCACCCCAAATCTGGCTACAGAGGAGTCATGGAATGTTTAGAGCATTTCTGTCTCTGCCACAAGAACATGGCTGTAAAGCGTTTGTGGAGCAGAGGCTGAATCCATCTGCAATGAAGTCCATGACAGCCCCCTGCAGTTAGCGACCCCATAACCGTGTCTCAGGGCACCTAGCCCCTTCGAGATTCCATGTCCACACACACTGGCCTCTCAACTTCCTTCATCCTAGGTTGGCCAGTTTTCTGTCACTAGAACACTTGAGTTAATCATCTGACACAGAGGAAAGTTTTATTTCAGCCTACAGATTTGGAGGTGTCTGTTCATGAGGCACTGGCCTTGCTGTTTTAGGCCTGTGGTGAGGCAGCACACCATGGAAAAAGGACAGAGTAGAGTAAAAACGGTTCTTTTGTGTCCAAGGGGAGAAAGAGTTGGGCAGGAAGGGGGTGGGGCCCCACAATCCTGTTCAAGAGTTGGTCCCCTGTACTGAAGACATCATGACGGTCCCACCACCTAAATGTCTCACCTCCTACAGGTCCCACCTCCTAAGGGTCCCACCTCCTAAGGGTCCCACCTCCTAAGGGTCCCACTTCCTATAAGTCCCACCTCCTAACAGTCCTGCCACCTAAGGGTCCCACCTCCTAAAGGTCCATCACCTCCTAAGGGTTCCACCACCTCCTCTCCACACATGGGGGCCAAGCCTTTAACACATGAGCCTTGGGGCCTTCCAGATTCAGATGTTGGTGCTAATGAGAAAGGAGATCACTGGGCCCAGCTCTCACCTCTGCAGAAAGCTACATTTGCACCAAGTTCCCAAATGATATTTGTCTCACAAAGCTTGGATTAGATTTGGTTAATCACAAATATGTTTTCCATGATGCTGATCTTGAGTGAGGGGCGACTTCAACATGGGAATTCCTCATACTCTTTCATTTAGACATGAATGATTGCAAGCCAACCTCTGTTTAATGTCCAATGAGTCTTTAACATAACTTGATTGAAAAAGGGCACAATAGGAACCTTAATTTAAGTTTCACACCCAGGTTTCATTCTGCACTTGGCATTCAACTTTTATACTGCTTTCAAGATTGCCAAAGATATTTGATTATTGATAGCTTTCCCCAACACTCCAAAATATTTCTGCCTTTAAACTTTGCACCTCTCTGCTTTTATTTTTTTAGAAGACAACAATGGATGGTCTCTGCAACTTGACAAATATTTTGTCAGTTATTACCAGATGACGTCCCAGCATCCCTTTTACCCAGAAATACCCGAATGCTGTAAGTAGCCATTGCTCCTGAGTCTCCTTCCCCATGAGTTCATGACAGAACACCATGTTTTTAACGTTCGATCTACTACATTTTTAAAAAAGTGTTAATTGTACTTCTGCAGTTGCAAGGTTTATTAGAGATGCAACTTTGAATGTGGGGGTTTTATGTTCAAATAATTCAAGGATCTTAGGTGTAAAAGCAATCATGTTAGGTATTGTGACATGATTTACTAAATTTATGTCAGATGCTGTTTTATATAAGTTCTTTGGTCACAATCACTATAAACTTTGAGGAAAAAAGAAATTGGGGAAATAGAAAGGCAGTGATGCTGTTTAGATTTTAATGTTCACAGGCAAAAAAAGATGTCCTGGGGTCTAAGCTAAATTTTAGAACTACAAAGCCTTATTAATTATAACCTACTATTTTCAGTCATATATAAGGGCATCTTGCAAGTAGAAGGGAGTTTGAAAAGTATAATCTTGAGGGTGACCTTTGTGGTATTTTAGAACAGGAAGATTTATGAAAATAACAACTTTAAGTAAATTTTATCTATTTTAATAAATTATGTAGGTATAACTCTGTAACTTGGACCTGTAATTTCAATCCTAGGTTTTCAAGACCTTGATTAAAAAGCAAAGGTTGGGGGAGGGGAGATATCCTTAAGTGTAGATTTTTCCTTTATGATCTACCATAAATCGTAAAGTCCAGCTTTTTGAATTTTTGATTTGTTTTTGTCTTCACTACTCAATTGAGATTAATAAAAATTTACTAACAAAATATACCATATGCATTCCAGAGGAAGGAAGCCAAATTATTTGATCATTAAAAAGTTAAAAGGTTTTAGAAAGAGAAAAGCTAACAGGTATAATCTAACTGCTAACATAATATCAAAAATAATAATGATTAAGCAGTGTTATCTTAAAATGTAATTTTTATTTTCTTTCCTTGTGTGTTGATTTCATTTCTTAAATTATAATGGATTTTTTTATATCTCACTTTATTCCCCCTCTTCCCCAAAATTTTTGACAACTACTAATCAACTTAAAACATTATCATGAGATAAAAAGCAATAGTCAAGTGGTAAATGGATATAGAATGGTGAAAAAATACTATATAAGACTATCCTCACTATGAAAAGGTTAGCGGCTACATCCAAAACTTAGTTCTGAATTTTGTAGCCCTTATGTCAAAACAGTGAGTTACATAACTCTCAAAGCCTGTTCATAAAGCAAAAACAAACAATGGGGACACATCAGATCAAGTCAGCAAGGGAAATAAGTTTCTTCCTGATCTTGCACTCTGGAAGAAACTTGTTACAAGTATAACTGCATAAGAGGAATAAAGTTACACAATAAATGACGAATAATAAATACAGAAGAAAAATTTCTTATCAATACTTACTATTGATCAAATGCATAGTCTTTAACTGGAATTCTTTAGACGTGATGGGGAGTTGCTATCAATAATCAAATCTTTGTCAATCTTGAAAGCAGTATAGAAGTTGAATGCCAAGTGCAGAATGAAACCTGGGTGTGAAACTTAAATTAAGATTCCTATTGTGCCCTTTTTCAGTCAAGTTGTGTTAAGGACTCATTGGACATTAAACAGAGGTTGGCTTGCAATCATTCATGTCTAAATGAAAGAGTATGAGGAATTCCCGTGTTGAAGTTTCCCCTCACTCAAGATCAGCATCATGGAAAACATATTTGTGATTAACCAATATGTCACCAAAGTTTAAATGTAAAGGGTCTGAAAAAAAGTTTGCCAAACCATAAATTCACCATGCAGAGACTACCAGCATTTACTCACTGATGTATTAGTCATCTTTTTTAAAACAATACCTGAAATTTCCTATATGAACCACTTTCTAATAGCATTTTCCATTAACATTTAAACATAATCAGGTATCCATAGAATTATAAGCTCTTTTAAAAATATGTAATATATGGGGCTGGGGCCATAGCTTAGGGTAACACTTGCCTAGTACATACAAGACCCAGGCTTGAATGGCACCACCACATACATACACAGGTTCAGAAAATATACTGTATTTTGTAAGTAGCATTTACATGTTTCACATATCCCTATTAAGGACAATCCTCTCCTCCACATATATGGATTACCTTAATTCAATATGCCTATTGAATTAAATATATATATATAATATGCTGGAATTGATGCTGAGTTTGCCACTTTCCCTCTCTGTCCTTTCCACTTTTCCACTCTCAAGACTCTCCTCTTCCTGTCCACCCTTCACCATCTCATCCCCAAACAGGTGCTCACACACTAGCTAGGACTTCGACTCAAAGAGACAGAATTAATTTTCAGTGATCATAGCCAAAATGAGTACTTGCAGCTAGAAGACTGTTGAGGAATTCAGGGCAGGTGCTCTGTTTACAAAGAACAAAGCTAAGTTACGACCCTGATCTCTTGTACCCTTATAAAGGGGTTACTTGCATGAAGGGAGGAAGCCCATCAGTCCTGCACCTGAGCGAAGCTGCGTGCTCCCTGCTGTACACTGGGAGCAGCTGTACTCAGGACGACCACTCACGGAGGCCCTGTCCCCCCAAACAGGACACACACACCACCCGGGAGGTTTTGCAGGGAAGGTTAGAAACTGGAAGCCAGCAGACAGAAAATTCACATAGAAAAATTTGATGGTTCTATGTTTTAAGTTAGCTACAAACATGTAAAAATACTTATACATAAAACACAGTATTACAGCTCTCTGAGAGAAACTTGGTAGGCTTGGCTGCACACGGTCGTAACTGAGTGACTGTTAGGGGAAGTTGTTCTGCTGGCCATCTGTGCCGGGGCTACCCCTATAGGTACTTGAGTCTGGAACACCTGCGATAAAGCTCAGAGCTCCAGAAGCAGATGCGGAGGGGAGGCATCCTCAGCGCCATCTCTAATTCTCCACTCCCAAGGGTAGGCATCGGGCTGCGTTTGATGACAATCCCACCGCACTGTTCAGCTGTGCGAACACAGCATTCCAGGTGTCTCTTAGACTGCACATGCTCTGAATCACGTGCTTAGGACTGACTCTGGTCCCACACAGTGGCCAAAAGCATCCCCCTTTCTCCCTTTCCTTCCAACACCCCCATCCATGAAAATACAGTGCGCCACCACAAATGAAGGTTTAGACGTCCTGCTTCTCCACATAAGCCAGAGGAAGAGCATTCGGAGAACATCTTTTGAAGAATGCTCAAGTTTTCTAGGAAACCAAATCTACCAATTCTATCATTCACTTTTATAGTTTAGTCCTCTATTAAAGGCTCTGATGACACTACTCATAACTACTGTATCCTTCGATAGAAGCTATTACAGGGATGTTAGACCCCACCACGTGATCACTTCTTCCTTTGGTGACCTGAGAGCAGATGATTTCACTCATTTTGCAGCAATTTGGTGTTTAAGAAAAAAATGATGGGCTGGTAAATGTGCTTGTATCCAAATGCCAATCCTCTAGCATCATGTTAAACTTAAATTTAAAGAAAATTTTGGAACCTTAATTTAAAGCATCACTCAAATGGCTTGGGAAAGAGCAGACCTGGACCAAGTAAGATTCTCACGGCTTCTCGTTTCTTTCCTTTCACTGCCCCCTGGTCCCGGCCCCTCGCGCCCGTCCCTCCGCACACTTGAACCTGTCCAGGGCTTGGTTCTGTGCCCGGGCATTGTTCCTGCCGAGGTCTAGCCCTCTACTGTGATGAAGCCGGTTTACAAGCTGTCCCAACTGTTTCTTCAAATGTGACTGTGATGTAAGTAGAAAAGGAGGGCCGGGGGCTGGCGATTTAGCTCAGCGGCACAGTGCCTGCCTGGCAAGCGCAAGGTCATGAGTTTGATTCCCGGTACCGGAAAAAAAATGGAAAAAAAAAGAAAAGGAGGGCTCACTCTTATATCCGAACAGTACTGGTGAAATTGTGTCAAAGACCGTGTCATTATTAAGAATGCATTTTTGTCAAAGATGATACCACTGTTTCTAGATCAGTTAAGATGATTGCTCATGATCATTTGCATTTATTAAAGGCAAGACCCTCACCTTAAACTATTCTATGGATTAACTTATTCAATCTCCTATAAGAATCTTATAAAGTATCTAATGTTACTACATTTTATCTGAACAAAAGATGAAAGGCCTCTAATTAAACAATAACACAGATTTTTTTTCTTGACATTTTTTGAAAGAACATTTTTGAATTTATAGGATTAAGTTTTAACATATCATGATGTGCAAATAAAGAAAAACACAATACCCTGGATGCAATATATCCAGAACCTTACATTTAAACTAATTTTTGAATCACATTTTCATTCAAAGATTTTGATGGTGTTTTTCCTAAGTAATTAATTATATATGAAAAGGAAGGATTCTCATAATAAATAGTTGTTGACTTCTAGTACTAGTTGTTCTAAGTTTTCAGTAGTACAAACCTGGATTCAATCCGATTTTAACAGCATAAACACATACACTTCACCAAAACTGTTAAAAAGAGATCAACAAAGATGACTATTTTAATCTAAAATTTCTCTGAGTTTTTTTTTTAATCCAGTTGTTCTAGTGTCTCATGGCTCTGACTTTTGGGTCAATGAAGACAAGGAAGCAATTCTTGAGTTTACAAATGTCAGCAAGTCTTACCTTTTCCAAAGGAGGAGTAGCACACGAAGGGAGGGCAGGCAACACATACAGTTCAAACGCTTGACAAGCAAGGGGTGGAAAATCAAGCCACAGAGTATAGAGAGAGGTATCCTCAAAGTCACAGAGCTCAGGGAGTTTCCTGGGAACCTAAAGGGAGAACATAGGGAGGTGAAGCTACAAACCTTTGCTTGTAACATTCCACCTGAGCCAGGGAAAACGAGAAGCTCTCTCACACTCTGTCCTCTCTTTCACCCTCACCTCTGTCCATATGCATTAGTCCAGTAGGAAAAAATAATTATCACCCAAAGAAACTAAGGTCCTGTGGAAAGTTTCCATGATTTGAATTTTAACTGGGGCTGAGGATGGTGGTGCACACCCGTCATCCCCGCACTTAGGAGGCTGAGGCAGGAGGATCACTGCAGGTTTGAGGCCAACCTGGGCTGCATACAGTAGTGAGTTCAAGGCCAGCATGAACTATATAATAAGACCCTGCCCTCTCCCCACAAAGAAATTAATTGGAAATACTAGATATATGAACTTATAATAATTTCACTCTATTTTTAGAAAAAAATCATCACCCCACCAGCTTATATCAAATTGCTAGAAATCCAAGTCAAAGAATGCCCTGACCCTGCCTAGTCCATTGTGCACTTTCCCACAAATAAGATTTGAATCCATTCTCAGTTCACTTATCCTGTGTAAAAGAGAAACAGAGAGAAAGCTGGAGGGGTGGAGGGGGAAAAGGCAATGACGACCCAGAAAGATCACGCCCCCCCAAACGGTGAGTTATTTAGTTGAATTAATTTCCATTCAATTAAAAAAATTGTTTGGCCCAATATGTAGATAGAGATAGAGTTAGAGATAGAGACAGAGACAGAGACAGAGACAGAGACAGAGACAGAGATAGAGACAGAGACAGAGATAGAGACAGAGACAGAGATAGAGACAGACAGACAGGTGCAAGTGCAGACATGGACACAGATGCAGACGCAGACGCAGACAGATGCACAGAGGCCTTTGACCTTCCAGTTTTCAGTCTTGTATTTATGAAACAGCTAGCTAAGGTGACACATGCCAGCAAACCCAGCTACTGCGAGGCTGAAGCAGGAGAATGGTGAGTTTGAGCCCAGCATGGGAAACTGAGTGAGACAATGTCTCAAAATAAAACATTTAACAGGCCAGGGCTGTCACTGAGTGGTAGCATGCTTGCCAGGCTGTGTGAGACCCCAAGTTCAATCCCCAGTGCTGCAAACAAACAAAAAATCTGGGCCCAGATCCTCACAATGGTTGCCTACAAGGAAGCAAAAGGAGGGAAGGGTCAAAGGTGACTCCAAGGTTTTTTTGCACAGAAACAAATTGATCCTGAATGAGGACACTTGGTGACAGTACGTGGGGACAATTAGGACTCCGATGTGAGTTGTTTTTTTTTTTTTCAACTGGAGATTGCCAAGTAACTCAGTGGGAATTTCCAGTAGGCGTTTGGAGATGTAGGCATAAGGCTAAAAAGCTTTTGCCTACATTTTCTTTATTCTTTGTTAAAAGATGGTGTTGTGGTTTTGGGGGAAATTGCAAGGGAACAATATAATATAGGACACATATTTTATAATATTATTTATAACAGTCACCCCAAGAATGATAAACAAGAGAGTGCAGGAAATCTGTCCACACACTATAGACCAAGAATCCAGCTGAGGGCCTGGATCCTGTGATAATGTCCTGCAGGAGTCCAGTTTCAGACCTAGAGCTCCTAACAATGCCTCCCACAAGTCCAGCTGGAGGCCCAGAGCCCATAACAATATCTCATGCAGGCCTGTTTCATGGATCTGTGCTGGGAAGGCCCAAAGCTCAGTGGTGGAATCTAGGAAGTCTGTACCAGTGGGATAGAGGATCTGTGCTAGCAGGCTGAGGGATCTGCACTGGAGCCAGGAAGCGATGCACAAAGTAAGCACCAGAGCTCCCCTGAAAGGTACCACAGCCATCCTCAGCAACAGTGAGGTCCCAAACTCCTCCGATGATCAAGATGGCTGAATTCCCACCAGGAAAGCCAGTGCAGCAAGCTTCTCCAGGAGACCGGCAGTGCACCATCTTCCCCTCTGGAGCCAGGAAGCGATGCGTAAGTGAGGACCAGAGCTCCCCCAAAGTGAACCGAAGCTATTCTCAGTGCCAACAAAGTTCTGAGCTACTCAGAGGATGAAAACAGCCAAGTTCATCAGGAAGGCCAGCATGACGAGCTCCTCCAACAGAACCAACAGCTTCTTACAGCTTCCACCAGCTCCAACAGCCTCTCAGCTCCCAACAGCCTCTTTACTTCCCAAAAGCCTAACTTCTTCTCCAGTTCTGCCTCTTATGCTGCTGACAACAGTCCCCAGGTGGGCCTCCCACACCCAGCACCACGCTTACTCAGTTCAGCTGGGGATTATAGTTGACCACCAGCTGTCAATCCACTACAGATGGCATTTGTAGGCCGGGCTAGGAGTAGCTCAGAGGTAGAGCACTTGCCATGGGGAAGGTCCTGGATTTATTCACTAATACTACAAAAAAAAAAAAAAAAGAGTAGCATTCTTCTATACTTTGGGTTGAACAACTTGGTTCCAGTTGTCTGTTTTTACTTTTGTCTATAGAGCTGCTTCGTACTTTATCCCAGTCTGTTTGTTCAATTCCATAGGAAAAATGCACTCTAGGCTTTATATCAAATACGTTAAGAAACTAAATATCACATTTCATTACTGAGTTGTGTCAAGTTTGAGTTAGAACTATTACAATGAAATGTCAAAAATGGACTAAATCATATGTAAGTAAAGTATCAAGCCAATAATCCAATGGAATATTACTGAATTTATTGAAAACACTTCACATAAATGTTAAAGAATGAAACAGCCAGAAGCAGAAACAGGAATATGTATACATTATTTTAACTCACTAAACATGACCTTTATTTGCCTTTAAAATCCAAGAATTTAATCACTGCGACCATGAGATCCAACAGTAAGAGCTTTCTTTATTAAAATCAGGACTATCTCTGACAGGGTTTACAAAATGAGGCAGTTTCTCTATCACATTATATATACATGGGATTATGTGAAGAGTCAAACTTAAAATACCAAATTTTAAAATGTAAGATCTGTTATATTTTAGAAGTATTTTCATTTATCCTAATCAATGAAAATAATAATCACCTCTCTGCATTTCAGTGGGATATTATGAAACTGTAAATACTATTTGTGGAAATATGTAGATCACATAAAAAGAAGTAGCCCACAAACCTTAGGCATTCTGTTTTAATAAGTATCCAGCTTTCTAAGAAACAGTATGTGTGAGTCCTTAAATGAGTCTCCTTTCCCACGATGGTAACACACACCCCACTGAGGTACAATTAGCATCCACCCCTTGCACTCTTCCACAGAATCTCTGTTGCATCTTTTAAGTATATTAATCACATTCCTTGCCAAGTCGCTGGGCTTCTATCCATATATCAAAAGGACAACACCATAATCTCCATGGTTTTTTATATACTTTCCAAAATTTGACAGTGCAATAATCTCCAAAAATATACTTTTGAAATAAATTTTAACAGAGAGAAACCAAGCTTATTGAACTTTATTTTTAACTTTTAATTTTTTATCTTAGCATTATATGCTTGCAGCTCACAGTCATCCTGGGGAATGGTTGCATGTCCTGCACTTATCACAGCTTCTTTCTTTTTTTAAATCTCCTTCCTTTCTCCTCTCTCCCCCCTCTAGTGAATGTAAAGGTTATAGGCCATAGCATGAGCTAAGACTGATAATATCAACCAGAATGAATTTAAAATCTTAGGTGTTCATACTGAAGAAAAGTCTCTGTGCATAGGTCCATGTCATTGCCATCCGGAGAGAGAGAGAGAGAGAAAGAGAGAGAGAGAGAGAGCAAGGCTGTCACAAGCAACGATACTGTCTTTTCTTCCAAAGTGCAAACTACAGTCATGGAACGTGTTTTTGAGGAAATGACTGAATGAATGAACACATTTTTAATAGCACACAAAAATTTCATCTGGAGTCTTAAATCAAATCCAAATGTTTAATAATTTATCCTTCTACAAGACAAACATCTAAACAGGATATTAAGTATGATCTGGGATATAAACCAAGAATTATTAGTAGAACGGGGATTGTCAGTTAGCTGAGAGTGACTTCAAGAGATAATTGACCTTGGGTGTGTATTTAATTTAAAAAACCACCAAGTATATAATATGTATAATTTAGAACAGTATTTTTAACCTTTTTATTGTCCTTCCATCCTGAGGGTATTTTTAGGTATTTTTTCTTTCATTTGCTCTCATGTGAAACGTTGATATTTAAGTATAATGTGCATCTTCTTATGCTTCATACATTAAAAAGTAGAGGTTTTTTACTTCCTAAAAACCAATCCTCACTCCCCATTGAGACTGGATGCTCTTCTAGATTCTAGAACAGTGTTTCTCAAATTACATCCACAAATGTTTTCTGGACACTCAGAAGAGTTATCTGTGTTAGTTACTTTTCTCATTGCTGAGACAAAATAGCTGACATCCAACGTTAAAGGAGGAAAGTTTCATTTGGCTCATAATTTATAGAAGTTTCAGTTAGTAATCGGCTTGCTCCAAGACAGGGTGGCATGGCAGAGGAGACACAGTTCATGGCAGGCAGAAGGCAGCAAAATCAGCAAGCAACTAACAAGGATAACAGTAAGGTCTCCTCTCTCTGTCCTTATATCCTATCCAGGCTACACATACTTTGGGTGGGAAGCACTCACATCTAGGGTGGGGCATCTTTAATCCTACCATTGCACCATGAATCAGTTCCAGCATCACACACTCTAGATCCAGCCAATTCTGAAAAGCTCCACCTATGACCACATGAGGCTTTGCAGGAACATCTAGACAAAAACCATAACATTATCTTTCTTTAAGAAGGATTCCTTACCATGTTTAAGCAATATTAGTCCAAAATTTAAACATTGTAGGTCTATTGTATGACACTGTCTTTACCTGAATTAACCTCCAGACAATGTTGTCTGTTGGACATTTACCAATAAGTATCTACTCCACCATAGGTCATAATGATAACGTTAATAATATCATTATATTATTAGAGAGCTCATCTAAATCTTCTCACAGTTAAAAAAATTTACCTGGGAAAGTTATGTGTAGTTTGTGCGAGGGACACAAACTCTATTGCTCTTAGATTTTTATTGCTTAATATATTTTCCACATTGTAATGCTTTTCATAGGAAAAAATTAAAAGTCTGGGGCCTTTCCAACCACAAATAGGAGGACCTGGTCTGTGTCAAAGTGTTTATTAAATCATGATACACAGGAAGATCTTTCCACACAACTTACTAGAAACTAATGAGATCACTCAGTCAGTAAAGATAGTTCAACTATCGGCATCAATTGATGGTATCTTTCATAATTAATTTCAAGGTGGTGGAATGTAGGCAATGGAGTATTTAAAAACAAAGACCTTGCATGCATTTTAAACAAAAACCAGTCTTTTTATTGTTTCTTACAACTCAGATGTCTTCTAAAGTTTATTAAATAAAAATAGAAAAAATAATTAAAAATTGTTTCTCTACATTTTATTTTTAAACTATTTGTTATAATTTACAATGTAACCTAAAGTATTTTGAAACATGAGTATATTCAATAATACAAAATCTACAGAGTGGCACCATGAAGAAAAATGTTTGCTGAAAGCTAATGCTAGGGAAACTACAGTTTGTAATTATCCATGTGGTAATTTGAAGAAAATGGAACAAGCCTTTAAGAACCAAACTTGCCTCCATTTCAGGTCACTTCAGCGGAACTTCATGAGAAAACTTGCTCCCAATGCCTTCAAGAAGTACCACAATCTTCAGAAGCTGTAAGAAAAACTTTAATTCCTGGTATTTAATTAACAAGTATTTTTTGGTGTATCTGTTTCTTCCTGCTGTTTTAGAGACCAGCAGTACAACTGCTTGAAACCAAATCTCTTTCCCAGTAATTATTTAGTTGTTAGATAAACAGCTAACAGCTGACTCCTTGCTACATTCTTTCTGAGTAGTTCCAGAAGGCACTCTAGAAAACTCAGGTACCAATCCCCAAAGGAGCTGCAGCATGTGTGCTGCAAATCCTCTATCACATCGCTTGTAAATCCTAGGCATCAGTGACCTGTTAGGAACTGTTCTACACAGCAGCAGATGAGAGCTAGATGAGGAGTCAAGCTCCCTCTGTATTCACAGTCTCTCAATCACTGGACTTGACGGCTCAGCTCCACTTCCTGTCAGATCAATCAGTCAGATTAGATTCTCAGTGGAGCTCGAACCCTACTGGGAACTGTAAATGCTCGGGATCTAGGTTGCCTGCTCCTGTGAATCATCCTAAAACTATCCCCTCCACCAATCCACGGAAAAAATGTCTTCCAGGAAACCAGTTCCTGGTGCCAAAAAGGCTGCAGACTGCTGGTCTACCACACTCTCCAGGACAGGCATATGGACTCAGGAGCTTTTCACTCTCCAGCACTCTGGCATGGGGACTCTCAGTGCCCGTCTTAGAGAAACACTCAATGATCTTTTACAGATTCACCATGCAGATTAGCTAATGAAGACTTTTCCTCCATGTGTTTACAGATTTAGTCTCTGCTTGAAACAGCCGGTCACTGTGGTTTGTACCCTCTGAGCATGTTTTTTGGGGGACGGAGTTCCGTTTTCCCACCTGGCTGCTGGGATAAGTTTGATCTTGGCCTCAGGAAAGGTTACAGCAGTGAGCAGAAACACCAAAATGACACACAGGATTTGGAGGTTTTAGTTTGGGTTTAACACTAGGGAAACCGATATATTAACATACATGCGCATATTTTTAAGCTAGCACATGGAAACAGAACATGAAATGTCCTGAAAACACAGAAAATCTGCAAAAAAATATATTTTGGATTTGAGAAATTAGAAGTCTCACAAAAATGGCTCTTCAGAACTAATTTTGAACGCATATCAATCAATAGATATCTTTTCAAAAATGTGCCTGCTGCAAAAACTTCAAGGGGGTACTTCCTCACTATGTTTTTCTGACTTTTGGAGTCTAAAGAATTTTTCTAACCTATAGCACCACCTTATGTCCACATGCTTAAAAGATGTTAGACCACAAATCTAAATATCAGAATTCAAGTTCATATAACACAGTTGTTTAGCAATTTTTCATGTCAAACATTGAATAAATTCTGTTTTTATTTTTAAGTTTTTTAAAGAGAAAAAAGCAAGAAGAACAATGATACAGAATTTCAAAACAAGATAATAGGAAATTAATAACAGTTGATATATTGCATACTGTTATCTTAAACTAGTTGCTCACATTATAAGATATAGGCATGCAAGACTGATCAAACAATATAAGCACAAACCATTCCCCTCAGTGAAGTAAAAGAAATTAGTAATATAACTATCTTAGCTATCTTCTGTGTATATATATATATTTTTTACCTTTTCTTTTCCCTTCCTTCTTTTCTCCTTTCCCTCATCCCAGTTGTTCTTTCCTTTTGAGCAGTTTCTTTCCCTTTCACAGTATCTACTGTAGATTTTGGATCTTATTTACTCTTTCAGTTTCTTACAGTAGGGAGACAATAAGATGTTTACACACGTAATTATTTATTCATTTATGAATAAATTCTTGAACAGCTACTTTGTTCCAAGAAATAAAATGATCAAAATAGCCTAATAACAAAAAGGAATGTAATTGGAATCTAACCTCTAGGCAATATAATCTATTGCTTAGTCAATCCTTGTAAAACTTAGCAAATAAATATGTAACTTCTTGTGTGTATTAGCGAGGAAAACGCATTACTTACTATATAAGTGAGTCCATACACGCTATGTGAAATTGTCAGGAGCATAATAATTTTTATAATAATGTTTTGAGGAAAACGCATTGCTTACTATATAAGTGAGTCCATACATGCTATGTGAAATTGTCAGGAGCATAATAATTTTTATAATAATGTTTTACAATCAAATCTAGGTCTTTTTGCATGCTGAGCAATAGGGAGTCTCTTAGTCAAAATTTTTAATTAACAGAAAGATCATTCATACTGATTTCTCCCTTATTGCTCCTAAGATTTATAATAAGCTATATATAAGTTCAGGGCACTCTAAAGAACAAAGATGTCATGAATTTTCAACAAAAAGGCAAACACCCTTCACTTAGGACATGTACACATTGCAACGTAAAGCTTTACATGTGATTAAATATGTTATATTCTGGTACCTTTGTCCTTTGACCTCCAGTTACCTTAAGGTCAAAATTACCTTCAGTGATCTCTGTAAGTCTGCATTCTTATTTTGACATTCAATTCCAATCTAAATTTTTCCAGTTTTGATTTTTTAAATTTGAATTTCTCCCTTTTGTCACAAGGTATATTCCTTATGAAGGGCCTCAAACACTTTGTGAACGAAGGTTTGAGGTATCATAGGTTTGTGGTGAACATGGAATATAGTTGGTGACATTAAAAATGTCATGTACTTGTAATTTTACCAGTACTATGTTGAGTTCTTACAAATTTGAATAACAGTAACTGGAAATGTTGAAAAGTGTGGTTTCTAGGCTTGTCTGGTCAGTGAGTGCTTTACTATGCATTAAAGTTTTACTCTTAGAAAACTCAAACTGTATATTTTTACTATTATTTGTGCCCAAAATAACTAGAAATTCTAAATAAAAACTAGCTAAGCATATATGAATTTCACAGCAAAGTAGATGGCATGATGTAAAGCTTCACTAAATTGTCTCACTATGTTTATCATTTTTCAATTTTGGTAAAATACACATAACATACAAAGTACGTGCTTGACCATTTTGGAGTGTCTGATCGGAGGCGTTAGGACCATTCACATTGTCAAACTAGCATTGCCACATTTGTCCACAGCGCTCTTCCATCCGCCAAAACTGAAACTCTGCTCCATTGTTTTCTTTTTGAATAATCATTTTCACAGGTACCTGCAAAACAACCAGATTCGATCTGTATCCACCTTTGCTTTCAGAGGATTGCACAACCTTAATAAACTGTAAGTACCAGTGCTAACGGATGTGCCCCTACCAGGACATGCTGCCAGCCTGACCGTTCTGGTCTGGTCCAGTCCTCAATAGTGCAAGGAGAGGCGCAAGAGCGGTGCGGGGACAGGGCAACCCTGGGCTCAGACACGGGACTAGAGGCAGATGGGCTTCAGTCTGGGTCCAGATAGAATCACTCTCTAGGTGAGGGATCCCTGCCAGTTTATGTTCTTTTTTAAGTGTTAACTCCCTCTACTGCAAGATACAAATTACAGCAGTACCTCTCTCAGGGTTACTGTAGGGGGCAAATGAGAAACCTTCCTTAGGAAGCTCTCAGGATGCTGAGCATAGCACACAGGGAGAACTCAGTGTGTGTCAGCCATAGCGATCGGAGTGATGGTTGAGTGAACTCAGTTGAAGTAAGAAAGCTTGGTGATATATTTATAAAGAAAAAGAAGAAAAAAACAAAGACTTCCCCAGTTGTTCAGGGTTTTTCTTTGTTCATTTCTGGGTTTTGGTGCTGGGGGTGAACCTTGGCTCTCACACACGCTAAGCACATACTCTACCACTGAGCTGCACCACCAGCCTTTGGTTACTCCTATTACACTACATGTCACACTTTTAGAAATATACAAAGCCCTGTAAAAGAAAAGGGTTTTTACTGTGGTGACACATACATAATGTAAAATTTACCACTATAACCATTGTAAATGTAGAGTTCAGTGGAATTAAGTAAATGGATATTGTTTTGCAACTCTCACTACTGTCTTCCTCCAGAACATTCTCAGCTTCCTCAGCAGAAGCTCCACACCTGCTAAGCAATAACTTACCATTTCGCTTCCCTTTGGGCCCTGGAAACTACCATCCTACTTCCTGTTCCTATCAATGGATGAGTCTATGCGATTCATGCACATGGAATCATAGACTATTCGTCCATTTGTGTCTGGCTTAGTTCACAAAGCACAGTGTCATCAGTGTTGTCCCTACGTGGTACATGTGGGACCCTCCCCTTTGTAGGGCTGACTGATATTCCACTGACGGTGTGCACCATGTCTGTTTACCCACCCATATCTTGCTGTTGTGAATAAGGTTGCTATTGCCATTGAGTTCTACCAAATAGTCTCCTAGAAAAAATAACCAGAAGGAAATGTAACCAAAAATTACATAAGTAACTTCCTGCCTTGCCATTTCTGTCCGTTTGTTGTTATTCTTCCTCCATTGTCCGTCCTAACTCCCTTAAAAAACTCACTCCATTAGTGTCTTGGTTACCTTTTTCTCGTTGCTGAGACAAAATACCTGACACACAAAATTAAGAAAGGAAAGGCTTATTTAGCTTACAGTTTGTGTAGGTTTCAGTCCATACTCAGCTGGCTCCAAGGCAGAGTGGCACACGGCAGAGGGCAACAGTTCATGGTGGCAGAAGATAGCAAAAGCAACAAGAGCAAAAGGGAGGACTGGTGGCTAGAAGAGCAAGCCTCTTTCTCTCCCTTACACTGTATGCAAACTACCCTCCCCAGGGCAAGTGTAGCACTCACATCCATAATTCCAATATTGGACCATGAATCAATCGTAAACTCTAGAAGCCCACACCATGACTGCATGAGGCTTTGGGAGGACATTCAGATATAAACCATAACAATCAAATTCCCAGTTTCTAGATCATAAGCTATTTCCTCTGCCTAATATAACTTCTGCACATTCTCTGGTGAGTGTTTGTGTGAACCCAATAATTTATCTAAGAGAGAACTCCATTCTCTCTTCTCATATTTGCCAACTCCAGGGAGAAGCTCAGTAATCCCTACACCTGGAAAAGCAGGTGCTTGGAACTCTGCACTGTCAGAGCAAAGATCATTAAGCACTTCCCTCTGCTTCCTGTATGTTTCACATCCTCTCCTGTCTCTCTTCAAGATTCAGAGTCCACCAAGAAGCAGGATGATATGGTCTACACAATGCCATTGTGTTAGTCAGCTTTCTGTCACTACAATGACACACCCGAGACAATTGACTTATGCAGCAAAAATTTGACCTTGGGTCACAGTTGTGGAATTTCCAGTCCGTGATCCTTTGGTCCTGTTGCCAAATGCCTGCTGGCAGGGAGCATGGGTTAGAGCAAAGCCACTCACATCAAGTTCAGGGAGCAACAAAGAGGATCAGGAAGAAGCTGGGATGCCAAGGTGTCTCTCAAGGGCATCCCTTCCTGGTAACTGAAGGACCTCCCTCCCTCAAAGCCCCATTTTGGAAGGTCCGCAGCACCTCTCAGCAGTGCCATCCTGGAATCAGAGCCTTTGGCCCAGACCACTTGAGGCCCACTTACCCAAACCAACACAGCCATAGAGTAACAACTCAAAACAACTTGATAAATAAATGAATAAATCAAAGAAGACATAAGTTGATTAATTATATCATTAATTTTGGGAAAAGTAAAAGCTAGAGGTGATGTAGGCTTTAAGATAAGCTTTCAGATAGGAACTCTTAAAGCCTCGAAGGAAGAGAAAGTCGTATGATGAGAATGGCATACAAGAAAATTTAGGATGAATGATTATTTTTACTTTCTTTATTGCAGACATCAAAAAGGTAAAAATTTATGGTAGCTACCTCTCCTTTTCTAGGTATCTCAGTCATAACAGAATAACCTTCCTGAAGCCCGGTGTTTTTGAAGATCTCCACAGGCTCGAATGGCTGTATGTGTAATTCATATGCCATTTTACAATATTAGCCCTTACATTCTAAAAATATATAAGTGAATCCATTTTTTTCTTCTGGCTGGCAGGATAATGGAAGATAATCACCTCAGTCGAATTTCCCCACTAACGTTTTATGGCCTAAATTCTCTTATTCTCTTGTAAGTACTAAATTAAACCAAACGTTTCCATGGAAAGGAAAGGCATGAATAAAAATGAATGCTTTAAGCATAAACACATTAAATTTGGAACTATTAAAGCTCCTAAAAGAATTTTTGAATGAAAAACCATCTCTTCATCATTCTCTCTAAGGCTATTTTCAATTCTAACATTTTTATAAGATTTTCTGCCTTCTAGAAAGTCAGCCCGTCAAAACTGCATGTCATGTCACTATGCATTTTATTGAAATTCCCTTATGAACACATTACTGTCGTGTATTACTGGCAAAAGAAATTATTATTATTGGCACAGAAAGCAACCAGGTAAATTCATCTGCTTTTCATGGCCCACTTTTGGTGGGTCAGGTACCAACATCCCTGTTTCCTCTTTTGGACATTGTACTATCAAGCACCTTCATACAGTAGGACATGCAGAAAGAAACTGGCAAAGAGAAGGTATCTCCCTTAGTGGTTTGGCTTGGTTTCGTACGAAGACTGATAATAGTGTGTTTTACGTAGGATGGCAAAGGAACCAGAATAATGTGACCCTGGGGCTTCTTCTCCTTCACAGGGTGCTGATGAACAACGTCCTCACACATTTGCCTGATAAACCTCTCTGTCAGCACATGCCAAGACTACACTGGCTGTAAGTTGTTGTACATAAATACTTTCTAAGAAGTCAGCTAGATGTTCTGGTTTTGCCTAATTTATTTCAGATATTAGGGCTTTTCATATAATAGGTTGTTAGTTTTATATCACATTTGTTTTCAGCACTGTGGATTGAACCTAAGGCTTCACAGTAAGCCACCTCCCTAGCCCTTTTTGTTTGTTTTGTTTTGAGGAAGGGTCTCACAAATTCACTAAATTACACAGGCTAGACTTCAACTTGGGATTCCCCTGCCTCGATATCCCAGAGCGCTAGGATTCTAGATGTGTGCTGTGTGCTTGGCTTCATATCACATTATTTTTAGTTACTTTACTACATTTCCATAGGAAATTAAATTCTCCAAATTCTCACCAAAATAAAATATCTCAAAAATTCTTTGGAACCAAGAAGAAGGAAAAGAGAGGAGATGCCACCAGATCTATAAGACATTCCTCCCCTGCCCCCTGCCAATTAAATTGGTACAGAAGGACTAAGTCATTTTCATTTCATTCCTAGATTCTGAAAAATGGAAATGTGATAATCAGTACTTTCTCTAAAGACTAACCACAGTACAATATATTCCCTGGAATTTTTTTTTTACAAAGAAGCCTTTCTTGTCACAAAAATACCATTTCACTTTTCAGAATTCATTTTTCTAGTAAATTTTACCTTTAGAATATAGGTAAAGAGTAAAGAAACTTTAATCAAGATAATTATTTAAAAGTTCAGTCAATAAACCACATATCAGCATCACATGAAAATTCGTTGTGCCTGTTATTTTATCAGAATTTTTCAAAGGTTTGTGCTTTGGTTTCTACACTCACCACAGATGAGATTTGTCAAATTAAGAAGATGACACAAGCAATCAGCAACAATGCCTGTAGGATGGTAGGAAGCAACAATATCAACTTGATGATAAAGTAGAAGTGAGAAATGCCATGAAAAGCAAAACTACTGACTCAAAGTATATTAATTTGGGATTCCTCAGGGAAAAAACAAACATCTCAAAACATTAAATCCAGGAGCACTGTAGTGTGACAGTTTCGTACTGTATTAAACATTAATGACAAGCTAAAGTCATAAGTAAAATGGCAAACTAATTCAATATCTTTCATTGTAATTGAATTTTGGCACAAAGGATTATTTTAATAGATATTACATGGTAATTAATGCTAACTTACTCATGAAGTACAACTGACCAATATTTACATAGATACAGTAAATTAGCAATTAAAAATGTATACATTGAGTCCAAGACCAATTTTAGAGGTATTATGCAATATAATAATAAATCCTTTACCTTTTCTCCAGTTACTGGGTATTGAGCCCAAGGCCTTCCCACTGAGCTATATCTCAGGCCTGTTTTCATTTACTATTTTGAGAAAGAGTCTCACTTTGTTGCTGAATTGCCCAGGTGAGGCTCAAACTTGTGGTCATTCTGCTTCAGCCTCCCAGGGTGTTGGAATTAGAAGCATGTAGCATCAAGCATGGCTTTCCTTTCCTTTTTAAAATAAATAGCAAAATATGTAACACACATCACATAAAAATGAGTAATATTTATTACTAGATGGGCTTTCAAAAATATGATGTTATTATCTGTAAATTTTAGCTATCAGAAATCAACTGACTCCATGTATATTTTTGATAACATTATTCCACTTTTAACGCCAGTAGTAACACTTTGCTTTATAAGTATTCATATCTTTAAAAACTAATTGCATTTAGTTTTAAATTGCATTTACTAACTTTCGTGTAGTAAACAACAAACTAGAAAATTTGATAGATTTGTTAACAAAAAAAGATTTTTAACTCTGATTTCAGGGAAAATACACATAAATAGGAAGTCAAAATACCTTAAGAGATTGCAAGGCATATGACAGACAATAGATTAACTCTTCAACCATAGTTCTTTCAAAGCAATAAAATAATTATAAACACCATAATAAAAGTTGGAACATGTAAAAGAAAAACATGTAAATGGTAAATATGCAGATAAACATAGGACAGTAACCAAAGATGAATTAAAAGTCAAGAAAGTCAACTTGCATTTTGAGATGAAACTAAGCAAGTTTATTTGTTGGAAGCAGAAGCCAATATAAAGAATTTGAAAATAGGGTTAAATGATAGTCAATAAGAATAAATGACAGAGCACGGTACTGAAAGACATAGAAAAAAGATGGAAAATAAAGTACTACACAGAGAAAGAGAGAGATAGAAAGAGAGAAGTGAAAATGAATAAACTAGTATTACTTGAATTAACATGGCACAACTCCAAGAACTCCAAGAACATAATATGAATTACAGAGAAGAATACATGGAAATATTATAACTCCATGTCAATGATACTGGGCTTAGAATATAGAAAACCAAATGACCACCTTGCTCCTTCTCTGCCAATGAAAAAGAGCTTTAAAATCTACAAAATTCTAATTTTCTGGAGGCTACCGGAGAGCTACAATTGTAAAACAATCAAGTAAATGCAATTCTAGGGTGTGAAAAAGTGAAATGAGACATATAGAATACTTCACCTTTGATAGGGCACAGGGGAAGAGTGGGTTGTTGTAAGAGCAAAGAAGAAAACAGTAACTGGGTACCCTGCTTTCAAGGGAAGTCAGTTCTCACAACAGGCTGGTTTTCACTGCCATCCAGTATCTGAAGAACTCAGAGTTGATGAAACCAGGGACACATAGATGTAAGATCTTCTTCCCTAGGCTGCTCCTTCTCCAGAAGCAAAAGCACTTCAGAAGGACAGGAAGTCTTTCTGTGCCCAGGCACCAGGAAATGATGTATTGTTTCCAGAGGAGAGGGAGAAACTAGAGCACTTTGGTCTCTCTCCAGTCCAGGCCCTACACTGATACAAAGCAGTGAGTGGAGCTGTCTTATGTTGGGACAGGACACTGTGTTAGTCAGCTTCCCTTAACTGTGACAAAATACTTGAGAGAATCAACTTAAGAGGAAGTTTTATTTGGCTTACGGTGTCAGAGGTTTCAGTCTATGTTCAGTTGACTCCATTTCTCTGGGGTCTGTGGTGAGGTAGACACATCACAGTGGGGAGCTTGTGGGAGAGCAAAGCTGCTCACCTCATGGTGGCCAGGGGAGAAAAGGAGACCAGGAGGAGGGACCAAAGTGCCAATATCTCCATCAAAGGCTGCTCTTTCACTGACTCGACTTCCTCCAGCTAGGCCCTGCCCGTGAAAGGTGACCAAGCTCTTAACACATGGGCTTGGGGACACTCTCCAAATGGTAGCACTTACAGAAGGGGGTTCTGGGAATAAGGAAACCCCACCTCCAAAAACCAAACCGAAGTTCTTTATAAAGTAATCAACAGAAGTAGATCTGGTAATTGATCAGATGTTATGAATTTTAGGCAAGGACTCATGATCAGTAAGTAAAGCAATGCAGTGGAAAATTGGGACAATATGCTTGAACATATGGAAAATGTCATCAAAGATTACTTTCTAAATAACTTTCTAAATAACTTTCTAAATAACTTTCAGGGTACAACTGAATCCAAAGATTACTTCAACAGACTTAGCAGCTGACTGAATACAATGGAGGGACAATCACTAACTTTGAAAATCAGCCAAAAGAAAGCTTTCAACTAAAATGAAGAGAAAAGATAGTAAAATAAAGACAGAACAGATTCCAACACTGTGGGATAATGTAGAACGGTCTAACCAAAACGTAAGTGGAGTCACAGAGAAGGAAGAACAGCAGAGAAGAAATATGTAAGGAAATAATAGTCAAGAATTTTCAAAAATTAACATAGTACAACATTCCAGAAATCTGAGAACCTCAGAAAAACCCAAGCAGAGTAGGAGAAAAGAAATAAGATGGGCCATACTCAAACCAGTAAAGGCCAAAGATAGAATTCCTTAAGGCAACCAGACAAATAGAAAAAGGTAAAATATGCAATTCTCATTTTTAAAAGAAGACTAAAGGTCAGCATTAATATTGGGAGAAGTAGAGTTCAGAACATTGAGCGTAATGAGGAATATCATGTAAAGATAAAAGAGCCATTGAGCAAGAAGACATAATAATCTTAAATAAGTAAACAGTTTCAAAATGCATGGAGCAAAAATCACAGAACTGTAAAAATAAATAGCTAGGAATCAAGAGATAATATTGAAAGCCAACAAAATCAATGTATCGACACGTCAGTGATAGGTGGTAGACAGTTATTTAGATAAGTAGATGATTTATTCTTCTGTATTTTTTTGAGACATGTTTGCAGTACAGAAAGATTCCACTCATCATGAGGAGTTAGTGCGTGTGCAGAACACGTCTTAATTCTTTTTACGTCTTCTTCCTCTCCCCCTAACCATTTGATCTTCTTAAACTGAACCCTAATAAATAGCAAGTAATTGGCAAGTATAGTACAAGAGAGGTAGAAGAGCAGAAAGAAAGACAATATATTTATTTCCTTTTCTTTTTCTTCTTTTGCTGGTGCTGTAAAGTTAACCCACAGTCTTATACATGCTAAGCAAGCTCTCTTCTCCTGAGCTCTATCCCCAGCCCTAATTTCATCATTTCTTTTTTTTTTAATTTGCTGCAGGACATGTGTAGTACATGTGTAGTGTTTATATTCCTCATGCTGCAGGACATGTGTAGTGTTTATATTCCTCATGTGAGGCTGGGATGTGTACATAGTATAATTTATTTCTTTTTTATCTCCTTTCTCTTCCCTGCTCCCCCTCTATCCATCTCTTGAGCCCCTTCCATGTGTCTGTGCATGCATGCGTGTGTGTACTTGTTCACAGTACATGACATTTACATTTGCCCTCCCTGTATGGAGTTGGTGTTTATGCATGGAACATCACAGTTCCTTTTTTCAACCTCCTTCTTTTCCTTCCCTCTAACTCTTAAATGCTCTTATCAAAAGAGAGAAAGGGTATATCACACTGGATAAAGTTATTGTAGAGGTAATCAATAGACTATACAAACTTTCTTATCCAGAAAAAATAATTTTAAAAACATATTGTGAAAGCTTTTTTTTTAAA